GGTAGTGTCAACGACATCTGTTGATTCATCCAGTTGAAATGAAAAATAAAAACAGTTATCTAAGTCAGTTCTTAACTGTAAAAAATATCATTGCTCATTACTTCTACCAGAGTTGGGTAGTATTCGAATACCCGGTATTCTGAATCTTATTCAGAATACATTTGGCTGGTATTCAAATACTATTCGAATACATTTGTGTTTTCTGTATTCGGTATTCGACTGAATACTTTTTTAGTCAGTACTCGGTATTTTGGATTCAGAATACCATTTTTGAATCCTAGTATTCGAATCCCGGTATTCAAATCCCGGTATTCGAATCCTGTTTTCGAATACTGTTTGATTATTTCTATGAATATTGCGTTACGTGTTACCATAACTCCATAACGGTGCAATTTTCAAACATTTTGTAAGAGTCCTTTTTTATGTATATTCAAAAATGCCATCTTTTAAAAGTAGTTTTTAAAAATTGCACCGTTATGGAGTTATGGTCCGAGGCGTATCTCGTGGGACACCCTGTATAAATAAGTAGGTTGTAAGGTATAGGAATAGGAAGGTATAGGTATTGTTTATTTTTTATTAAACAATAAGTTTGTGTTTTTATCTGACGGTGTACCAAAGAATTTTATTTTAACTTTTTCATTATTTTATCGTTCTATTTATAATTTTTTAATAAAACTTTAAGAAATAAAAATCAACAAATGTTTTTTATTAAACAGTTATTTTATTTAACCTCACTGTGACACTGTGTATCAAAAAATGATATTTCAAGTTTTATTTAACATAGATTTTTAATTCTTTTTATATTTTTATAAATTAACTACAAAAATAATAATCAAGCTTTATGTACGCACATGTTATTTGTAGTTGGAATATTCATTAAGTATTCATATGTAAATGAATCTAGGTATTCGAATACAGCGGTATTCAAATACTTTTCTTCTTTGTATTCGAATATTGATTATTCGAATACAATTTAGAATACAGTATTCAGGATTCGTATTCGAATACCGGATTTCAGTATTCGACCCAACTCTGACTTCTACACGTCTCATCACTGTATTAGCAGAAAGTTGCATATATTTTATAGTTGAAACTATCTCGTCTTTATTTCTAAAGTTGGCAAATAACGAATCAGCAGCTTCTAAAAATGCCTGTTTTATCATTTACCCGTCTTCATAAGGTTTCTTTTTTTGTGCAATTATCCCCAGATACACGGTACGATGCTTCAGTTGCAGCCTTATTTTTGTCGACTGTTCTTAAAAATATTGATTGTTGTCCAATTAAATGCTTTTTTAACTGTTTCAGTTTCTCCTTTCTGGCGGCAGAATGTAGTGGGAATGATTTTTCAAAATTAGAATGTACAGTTTTATGATGTCTCTCAATATTTCCTTTTTTAGCAACGGAGACCGAAGTATTACATAACAAACACACATTTTTATCTTTAACTTCTGTAAAAAAGTATTGTTCTTCCCATTCCGAATGAAAGTGGTATGTCTTTACCTTCTTACAACTGCTTGCCATAATATTATTTTTTGTTATTCTCTACTAACCCAACTGCTGGACGTTGGTTACGCGTTCAGTTTTAAACTAAGCGCAATGTCGCCGCGCCGTGCGTATTTATCCCGTTCAAAGCAATCCTGATCGTTCTCGAACACTAACGCGCTGGTCCGGCTGGTCGGTTCTAGCCGATTCTAGCTTGATGGCGTCAGCGGCAGATCGCTCACCGCAACGTTGCCGCTGTTTATGTATTTTCGGAAGCTTCTCAGATTATTGCAGTTTGTATTTTTTAAATTAAATTCATGAGAGCTACCAGAATTGCCTCCGCGAGCTACCGGTAGCTCGCGACCGACAGGTTGGCGACCACTGTTCTAGATAATCAATTAATTATATGTAGAAACCTTGAAATTTATTTCCATCACCCAGTACATGTATCTGTATCGTTTAATTTTGTTTTTTCGTTTCTGTTTGACATATACTCTCTAGCGGAGTCTAGAGTTATATCCGAGTATTTTGGAATCTGGAAGGATGGATTACACTGTCCCAAAAACGTACCGATTAATTAGTCTTACATCGTTTTTCATTGGAAAGGCTATGCGAAAAGTACATAAGGGATGCGGTGATTACAACAACACCACTACACTCAAACCAACATGCATACACCCCAGGCAGATCTACTG